GTACCGCTGTATTTGGGAAGCCAGTTAATTTAAAAAAATCACTTACAGAAGTTCACTTTTGCTGCTTTCAATTGGGGGAGGCGTAACTATCTGTCAAAGATGAAATCTGCCCCACACTTTTGGCCTTCCAGAAGAACCTAAAAACTTGGCTCTGCTGCTTGGCCTGGAGCCTTGATAGGGGTCCAGTACATTAAAGGTGATTGACAGGATAGAGAAGATTCTAACTCTCAGGCTGCCTATCATCTATGTTTTTAATTTTACTTTTTAACTTTTTATTCTATTGTAAAATTTTTTATACTTTTTAACTTTTTATTAAATGTTGAATGCAAGTCGTGTTTTTATTGTCTTATTTTATTCACCTACTGTTTTTGTTTTTGTATTTGCACCCCCCCCCCCCTTTTTGATTGTAAGCCGCCCTGAGTCCCCTCAGGGAAAAGGGCGGCCTATAAATTCCAATAAAATACTAAAATACTAAAAATACTAAAATCTCTGTTTCCACCCCGTTCCAGGGGAAGGATACTGTAAAATCTCCATTTCCACCCCACTCCAGGAGAAGGATACTGCAAAATCCCCACTCCCTCTCCACTCCAGGGCAAGGATACTGTAAAATCTCTTATTTCCTCTCCACTCCAGGGGAAGGATACTGTAAAATCTCTATTTCCTCTCCATTCCAGGGGAAGATACTGCAAAATCTCTATTTTTACCCCTCTCCAGGGGAAGGATACTGCAAAATCCCCCTTCCCTCCCCACCCCACTAACCTGCTTTCCAGCTCCGTTCTCCTGTGCAGGGCAACAGAAAAAGACCCAGCTGATCAGTTGGGATGCCGTTCAACAGGGACTTGGGAGGCAGTGAATAGATGGGGGCAGGGCCAGCCAGAGGTGGTGTTTGCCGGTTCTCCAAACTTCTCAAAATTTCCGCTACCGGTTCTCCAGAACCGGTTAAATATACCACCTCTGCTGCAACCAGTCTTCTTACGTAGATTTATACATAGATAGATTTATTATACATACATTTATTGATTTTTTTTTCGCGGGGAAGCTCGAGAAAGCGCAATTATTTCGGGAGCTGCTGGAGGGAGTCCCCTTTGGGCTGAAGTCTCTTGCGTCGTTTCTCCTCTTGGTCTTCTTCCCGTTTTTTCCGCTTTGCTTCCCACTTTTGCATCCCGTGGTCCAGCTCGGAAGAGAGCTGGGTTATGCGCCTCTGCAGGACCCAAAAAATCAGAGAAGGGAAGGTTAAAAAAGGGACCAGGAAGATGTTCTCCACATGCCCCCCTTTTTAACCTTCCCGCGGGAGATTCCCCATCACCCGGGTCTGTCTGGTTTTTCTTTTCAAGCCGTTTTCGCTCCTCACCTAAGAAAGCTTCTTCAGCTCTGACTGGATGACGGGGAATGGAAGGATTTATACTCCTTGCAGGCAGCTGGTCATTTGCAGCCTTTTAGAGCAGGGACGTCAAACACAAGGCCCGCGGGCCGAATGCAGCCTGCGATGTGGCTGGATCCGGCCCGCATGGCTTCGGCCTGGTTTATCGAATGAGAAGAGGAAACATCGGGCCAGTGTGCCTTCGGCCTGGTCTACCCAACACAAAAAGAGGAAACATGCCGGCAGTTTGGGGAGTGGCGTTAAGCTGGCAGTTCCACCACAAAACTGCGCTCGAATAAACCGCGCCCGACTAAACCGCGTTGCTGACGTCATCAACAGGGCGACAACAACGCGGAGACA